TGTGTGTGTGTGTGTGTGTGTGTGTGTGTGTGTGTGTAAAACATGCTGTTTTTAAGAACCACGGCTTCTTCTCTAAATGGAGAATTGTTCACATGTGAGTCACATGTTGACTCTCTGTGTTCAGGGTTTGGTTCAGTCCGTGCAGAAGTTTTGAGCTGTTCTGACGGCTGTTTCCTGGATCCCCCCCTCTGTGCTCCACCCTCACTCCATGATTTTTTAATCTCACATCACTGAGCTCTTCAAAGCTAAACATGGAGATGAGTTAGTCGTCGGGTAAAACTTTACAAGCCAGAACTTCTTCGTATTAATGAGTCTGATGGGAGTTTTGAGTGTAACATTAGAGAAACCTGTTATTTTTTTGACTCTTTAAGGTGAAACCACCTCACCTGCTCTTCAGTAGACGAGCCTGTCGAGGGATTTCCTCTTGTGCTGCATCTGTTTTATCAAACAAGACAAAGTTCTGAACTTCTTGCAGTAAAAGTCATCAATCATGCATTATATTCTTATTTCTAATCGTTAATACAGAATTCACTTTAAAAACTRATCTCATATCTTTCAGAAAACTTTATTTTTATTTCCAGGTTCAGGCTGAGTAACTGTAGTTTATCATCCATACATCYATTTAATTCAGAATAATAAATTAACAGTGTAGCTATTCCTTGGAGGAATGCATTTCCTCTGCTGCCTTTTATGCCAGAGTCAAAGATCATCTTGTTGAGAAAKGTTTTGGTCAAACCTTGAAACTTGTGCATTAATGCATCACCACAGGGCTGTTCAACAGGGGGCCACAGTTACTGCAGGTCAGCAGCTCAGGGGTCAGACATCCAGCAATTATTATTATATAAATAAACCAAGTATTACAAAGATCTGTTACCTCTGAAATAGTTAATTTTGCTGCATTTAATCATGAATACAACATACACAACTCTTTTAAAGTAGTGATAATTAAACAGCATCAAAAACAAAAAAAAGAACACATTTTGCCTCCTATTTGACAAACATTATTTTGACATCTCTGACTTMCCAAATTTTTAAACCAATTTTATTTTCACTGTCATAGTTTTATCTTCAACTGCTTGTAGTTTTAACTGTCTRGAGTGTTATAAAGATGTTTTTTACCAGCTTCTAGCCAAGATTCTGATGTTTCTGTAGATAACAAACATGTCTATGTTTAACTACAAAAAAAACCTCACAGTAATTAAAGCAGAAAACAGGGGTTTGGCTTTAAGAGATGAATGAAACAATTGGCGGGCCGAACTTTGGTCACTTACGGGCCAGATGTGGCCCGCGGGCTGCCAGTTGACTAGCCCTGCATTAACACAAGATATCATGCTGACGTCAAATTTGAGCCCAATATAACAGACACATGCACACACTCCTGCTGTTGCCTGGCATCTTTAAAAAATAAARCGGTTCACCTTCTGTCTTCAACGTGTCGTGTCAAACTGATTATTCTGAATCATGCAGTTAAACCCTTGGGTGTGCCTGCAGATCACTGATAAAGCCTGTTTTTGTTACACGAGTCTCACTTTTTACTCCTCTAGTGTAGAAAATGTGTTTGACACTTAGTTTTCTTCTATTTAACACATAAATATTGCTGCGGCTGGATGTTTACACGTCATCTGACGGTTCTCAGAAAGCACCGCCTGCTCTCATTGGTCAGCTCCGATCAGACACTCCCAACAATCAGCCGAGCACACGCCCGAGTGTGAGCTCAGCCATCAACGTCTGAAAAAATCCCAGGAAAAGAGTCCTGGGCGTCCGTCAGAAGCGGATCGTTCAGCAGCTCGGGTAATGATGGAGTCTTCCCAGAAGTGTGGGATTATATCTCTGGCTGCAGATGAGCGCACTTCCACACCAGGAGAAATCTGACTCCTTGACCTTTGCTCTGATGACTCGCCGGAGTCTCAGCAGCTGAAGTTCAGACCAGCTGCTGGTTCACAGCAGAGAGAGGCTGAATAAGCTCCGAAACAGCTTTCAGCATGGGCTCACGTTTACTTTTTCTGTATTTTCACGCTCATTTTACCTGATTCTGTCTGCTTCAACAAGATGTTTTATGTTTTTAGAAATAAAAATACATCTTGTGGTTTTCCACCTGAATCAAACATCACWGTTTCAGTCCGTGTGCAGCCTCAGGTGTGTCATGATCATGTTTTATGTCTCTCACTCATCAGCTGCAACAGCAATTAGGTTAGCTTAAATTCACATGAACTGTTTTTTTTATATGTGACCCATCATGTAGAAATGAATTTGATCAAAATGACCTCATCAAGATGGTACCTGAATCATCCTGATATCAAACAGAACCAGAGATTTTAATTAATTTGTCTTATTAGTTACAAAAATACATTATTATTTGGTCTGAATCCTAATTTTCTGTCATTTTTATGAGGATTGTTTCATTTCATTATGAAGAGGAAATCTCAAATAGTATTTGAATATTGACATTTCCCAGCTGGAAAGAAACAAAAACATTGCCAGCTCACAGGAAAAATCTCACAATTTAAAGGCGTTTTTACTCAAAATCAGGTATTTTGTTACTACTTCTAAAAAAGTGCTTCTTAATTTTTTTTAGGATTATATTTTACACAGTTCATTTAAATGAAACATTGATAAAACATAAGTGTTTTAATCAAAAATAATAATAATTGCCTATTTCTCCTTTATGCCACTTTTAGACTGAATCCTCGTTTCGATGTGATGGGTCATATTTTTTATAAATGTCAGCGTCTGGATKTGTTTTATAAAAAATAAGATCCTTAAAATAGTTTAGAGGAGTTCGTATTGCCTTCTGCCTCCTAAAAGTTGAATTTCTACACATTTATGCATGTTTAAGTGTTGTGGAGGTCTTTCTTTTAACTGTTTGTCCTTTTTTTCTTTAGAATGTTCCAGAGTGTGATGACAAGAGAAGAAAAAATGAAGACGATGACAGAGGAAGCGAGGAGGAGGAGGAGGAGCAGGAGGAGGAGGAGGAAAGCAGCGATGAAGGTTTCATGGGGATGACTCCTCTGCTGCAAGCCCACCACGCCATGGAGAGGGTGGAGGAGTTCGTCCACAAGGTGCAGAAAAAACCACGTTTTTATTACAGCTCTCAGTAAACACTGAGCACAACCATAAAAACACATTGCTTGGTCACGACAGATAATCTCATTTTCACATGAAATTATAAAATCATGAATATATGGTTAAAAAAACCTCGTCCTTCAGGGTTATTTTGACTCAAACAAACGTAAAAGAATCGTTAAGAAAGCAGCTCGTTTTGTTTCCTCACTGATCAGGTGTGGGAGGGCCGGTGGCGCGTCATCCCACACGACGTGCTCCCCGACTGGCTGAAGGACAACGACTTCCTGCTTCACGGCCACAGGCCACCGATGCCTTCGTTCCGCGCCTGCTTCAGGAGCATCTTCAGGATCCACACAGAGACCGGCAACATCTGGACACACCTGCTAGGTGAAGACGCTCACCGTGCACATCTGTGTTTCAAACATGAAGAGCTCATCTTTGTTTGTGTTCGTTTAGAAACTACACTTCCTGTTTCCAACAAAACATAAAAACACCACAAAGCAAAACGGCTGGTGCGAAGACTTCAAAACAAAACACAAAAAGACAAAAAAAACACTCAAATATTACGTTTAAGACAACTGATTTTTTACGTTTTTCATGTGCAAAAAGCACAAATATGACAAACATTTAGGTTGGCCTGTTTCTAATCTGCTTACTATTAAAATTAAATCAGACTGTTGCGACTCAAGCTGTTGAGTAACAAAACCATGTCTGAAATAACTCAAACCAGACGTTTTACTTTGCATAAGAAGAAGTGTTGAAAGCTGGGCAGCAGAACATCCAGAGAACACGTGATTGTTGGGTTTGAAGCTAAAGTTAGTGCGTTACAAATCTGATTTAAAAAGCTGATTTGATTTAGTGTAAACTTTTTTGTTAAACTAAAGCAGCTTTTATTTTGAAATTGACAGAAATGTGGTTTTAAAGCTCTGCTGCCACCCAGTGGTGGGAAGCAGACACTGCACCTAAAATAACCTGGGGTTTTTTCTGCTTGATGAAACGTTGATCCTCGTTGTGTTCCGTCTCTTCTCGCCTCCTCAGGCTGTTTGTTCTTCCTCTGTCTGGGTCTCATGTACATGTTCCGGCCCAACATGTCGTTCGTGGCGCCGGTCCAGGAGAAGGTGGTCATCGGGATGTTCTTCCTCGGAGCCATCCTCTGCCTCTCCTTCTCCTGGCTCTTCCACACGGTCTACTGTCACTCGGAGGGCGTGTCCAGGATCTTCTCCAAGTAAGAAACAAAGGTTTTGTGGGTTCTGCGGTGCTGAGGTGAAAGTCCAGTTAGTGACCTGAGTTTTGTGTCCCTCAGATTGGACTACAGCGGGATCGCCTTCCTGATCATGGGCTCCTTCGTCCCCTGGCTCTACTACTCCTTCTACTGCTCCCCTCAGCCCTGCTTCATCTACCTGATCACCATCAGCGTACTGGGACTGGCGGCCATCTTTGTTTCTCAGTGCGATTTCTTCGCTACGCCGCAGTACAGAGGAGTCAGAGCCGGTAAAATGAGATTTTATCGCCTTTACATGTAGTTTTTATGTTTTTGAATTTGCAAAGAATGATCGTAATCACTTTAAAGGACTTTGATTTTGATGATTTTAATTATTTGTTTTGAGAAAGACAAATCTTAAGTGTGGTTTTGTATTTCCTGATGCTGAGCTCTGCTCTGTGTTCAGGTGTGTTTGTGGGTTTGGGTCTGAGCGGCGTGGTTCCCACCCTGCACTTTGTCATCAGCGAGGGTCTGATCAAAGCCACCACCATCGGTCAGATGGGCTGGCTGTTTCTCATGGCCACGCTCTACATCACCGGCGCCTGCCTGTACGCCGCTCGCATCCCCGAGAGGTTCTTCCCCGGCAAGTGCGACATCTGGGTGAGACTTTTTATTTTYTTTATTTTAATCCTCCTGCYCCTTTTTCCTCTTTACACATCTTAACTCCCACTTCTCTCCCCGCCGTAGTTCCACTCCCACCAGCTGTTCCACATCTTGGTGGTCGCCGGCGCCTTTGTCCATTTTCACGGCGTCTCCAACTTGCAGGAGTTTCGGTACACAGCGGGAGGGGGCTGCACTGACGACGNCCCCCCCCCCGGGTGTGCTGGTTCACGAGGAGGAACTGGTCTGAGTAATACGCACAGAATCTCTCACCATCTCCCAGCTGAAAGGTGCAGGAGCTGGTCCTGCTGTGAGCGGACCGACCAGCAGGGGGCWCTATTAAAACTGACAAGTGGGCTCAGACTCATCCCGTCTTCACTCTGTTCAACTCAACCTCTTTGGGTTCTGTTGCTTTAGCTAAAATTAACTAAATCAGTTTTTGAGACTATTTTTGAATTGAGAAGGGATGCGATTTTTAAAGATCCTCTTCAGTGATTCTCAGAAAAATAATCTGATTTAAGGAAAAAAAAAAAGGCTTTTGGGTGTTTTTGGTGAAAGCTGTTTTTCCAAATCACTTTCAAATGAAARGAGTGAGAAATATCTTCCTTTGCTGATAAGTGTTTGGACCAGGAGAGGGTTTCTTAGTCTCTTTTAAGTAAAAAAACAAACAACAAAAAAAAACTTTTTTATGTAAATAAGATTTCTAAACTTTAAGTTCTAGATTTGTATGAAGTTTATTTTAAAAACTACAGAAATACGTTAAAAAATTTTAGATAACAAACCAATTCTTGAGGCTGTTTGTGCTTCGGCAGCAGGTGGTGGGATTTCTTTTGGAGAGAAAAACCAACAAATGGTATTAAAAGGCAAAACTTGATATTTTATCTTGAATTCTCAGTTTAATTTCTGTTATAAAAACTTCATCCATATTTTAAAATCTGTTTGTTCCTTTCCGGGTAAAGGGTTCGAGTTATATCCWGCAGTCACTGTGTGAGCCGTGGGGAGCACCTGGACACGTCACGTCCATGATGGAGACAAACWTTCACCCTCTCATCCTCACCGTTAGAACCAAACATGCACGTTTTTCTGGTCTGTGGGATGAAAAAAATGGGAGAAAACCCACAGGTGCATGGGGAGAACATGGTATAAAATTTAAGCAATGAGAGAATTTTTGTCTCATTTGTGTCCCAATCCGCAGTTCTAATCTCAAATTAGGCTTAACAGACCAACATTTTAACTATAAAAAAACAAATAATCTTGACATGTTGCTGTTTTTATTTACCCACTTTTCCCCTTAAATGATTTAGTGAAACACATCAAACTTAAGATATTTTTATAAACAAGGCCCCAGTCATATCTAATATTTTATTTTTAAGTAGAAAACCTGAACACAGATGCAGTTTTTAGAAATCCTCCTTGTGTTCAACTCTAGAGTCTCATCCCAACTAAAAAGCGGTAATCTTTCTGGAGAGTATCTTTTTTTTTGTTTTGATTTGTATTTTAATTTATCTACTGCTATATCTCAATGCAAAGCTTTAATTAGTCTCTTTTGCTTTTTCTTTCTTTTTGCATTGTTCCACAGATAATTTACAAGCGTTTCTGTAACAAAAAGGTGATTTCTTAATAAAAAGAATTAAACATTTTCCTTTAAACTCTAGCTTCAGAGTTGAGACTTGACTTGATTAAAACAGGGAAACTTTTCTGAATTTAAACCAAAATCTTCCACCTGACCAGGGAAAAACATCTGAGCTCATCCTAACCTGTGTGTTTGTTTGAAACTCGGGTTTGCCGAGTTCTTAATCAGCGAAAGGTTTGAGCTGCATTCTGTACTGCAAGATTTAAAAAAAAATCTATTTTTATCTATTTTTTCTCATTTTTTTGTTTCTGTTTTATCTATTTTGTATTAATTTATTTCTCTTGCAGAGTGCATAATGTCTTTGGACACCCAGTTTCTTTCTGATGGGAATGCTTTGTTTGCAATAGACCTTTAAATCTGCTGTGTTCTAATAAAATGGTTTTTTGGACAATTTTTCTCCTCTTTTATTTACCAAGTTGCCACATGGAAAAGGATGACAGTGTTTTCAGAAAACAAAACATTTACATAAACTTTAACTATGCAATGGACTGTTTTAAGCTGTGGAGATATAATTGTATATGTACTCGATTTAAATTCGATTTAAATTTTAAATACTGAAAAGTAAAATTAGGCTGAAACCATGCATGTTTTATTTATAGGTGTAGTTTCGTGTTTTGTCCAGCGGGGGGCGCTCTACTTCCTCCGTGTCAGGTTCCCGCACAGCCATCACGCTCACTTCCGTTTCAGCATTAGGTATGGAAATGTTATACAAATGCAAAAAAAAAAAAAAAAAAAAAAAAAATCGCGCTGAATAATTCCAATAAGTTGTAATTTGATTAAGCTCTAAATACAAGCGGTGCTAAAGTTGTTTCTGCGGATTCACGGGTCTTTGGGAAGCCCCCGTCATTCCGTGAGTTAGCCACGCAGCACGTTACTAGCATTTATTAGCCACACGTAAGTTGTAATTATGCTATAGATAATATTATAGTATAAATAATTGTCACTAAAAGTAATGACTAGTAGGAATATTGCTTTTTTGACATGCTTCCGTTCACACGTTTATGTATTTAAATGAAAATGCTAAGCTAATTGCTATGCTACATGCTAGCTCAGCTGAGTAAGGTGAGACATTTAGACTTGATTTTTTTATGTTAAACTATTTTTTTATCAGAAATTATTGCGTTAATTGTAAAAACGAATATGTTAAGTTTATCGCAATTTTTCTTTTATTTTTCTACTGTAAATTAAAAAATACGGAAGCTTCCGTTTCCAGCTTCCGATTCGGGAAACGACTAAAGGGATATTACAACTATTTTTTCACTACCCTGCTCGTGTTTAACCTGCTCTAGCTCAAAAACTACAACACCTACACTCTTCAAATCTGGACTAGATTATTCTACACTAATAGAAGAATATTTAAAAACACGTTTGGGGTTTGGGAAAGCTTTGTCTGATTTGTGAAACTTCAACAAAGTTTGTTTTTCATCGTTTTTTTGCAACTGGACCACATTAGGCCTGGTCCAGCCCAAGAGTCCAGGTGTTGTGGTTTTTGAGCTGGACCAGATCTAATGTGGTCCAGTTGCATGAAAACGATGAAGTTTCCCAAATCCCAAACGTGTTTTTAAATATTCTTCTTTTAGTGTAGAATAATCTAGTCCAGATTTGAAGAGTGTAGGTGTTGTAGTTTTTGAACTGGACCAGATCTAATGTGGTCCAGTTGCATAAAAACAATGTAAAACAAACTTTATTGATTTTTCACAAATCAAAGGTTTCCCAAATCCCAAACGTGTTTTTAAATATTCTTCTTTTAGTGTAGAGTAATCTAGTCCAGATTTGAAGTGTGTAGGTGTTGTAGTTTTTGAGCTAGAGCAGGTTAAACGCGCAAGTTAGTGAAAAATTAGTTGTAATACCCCTTTAGTCACTTCCCGAATCGGAAGCTGGAATCGGAAGCTAACTTCAGCTTTGTGTACTACAGTAGAAATATTGGTTATCTGCACATTACTTAAGTAAT